TAATTCAACTCCTTTTAAACAACGATCCACGAATAAAAAATCTTAAAAAATCATCCATACAAATCCTTAAGCAATGTCATCCCAACGTGCAACCCTGAAAGCTTTATTTAATACTCTCAATCGATCTTGATCAAACCCCTAAACCAGATTACTTCTAAACATACAAACCATTTTGTATCGTGTTAATGTTCGAGAATATCTTGAAACTACATTCATCCTCCCTGAACAATACTGAGTGTAAAAGTAATAGCTTCTCATAATTCAGTTATCTACTCTATCTCGCATTTACGTTTAGTGTGTGAACGTAAACTATCGACCGTCGTAGTCTATGTCATTCAATCAGTTTTCACAATAAATATTATCTCATAACATACTGATTTAGTATACGATCTTAGCACCTATGTTCTTACCTCTTCAAATACCTTCCAAATTGGTGTCCTACCATTTTCTGATAAGACTCAACGATTTACCATTAGGATGCACTAACAGACCGAATATAGAATACAATGAATCCTAACCTTAAGCTCTAAGTAAAAGAGTACACAATGCGGAAGTCACATAACGAAAAACACCCTATGGACACTTGAACCTGGAGTACTCTGATATCAACTGTGATACCCCCTAATTTTGGAATACGGGTTGATCAAGTTCACGTACAAAATCAGGGGATATCAAAACAATTAAAGTATTTTAAGCAAGTACAGATTACAAAATGAAATAAAAGAATAAGAAATACGCTGAAGAAAACTAATAAATAATAATTATCAAATAATATAAAATATATACACATATTATATAATATGTATGTACATTACCTTTCATAATTAATTATTAATTAATTAAATCATATCCACATATATATATATAAATCAATAAATATATACAGATATATCCTTCCATAATAATAATTAATTAATTAAATCATATCCACATATATATATAAATCAATAAATATATACAGATATATCCTTCCATAATAATTAATTAATTAATTACATATATATATATATAATTATATATATAATTATGCAAAGATAATTATTTAAATATTTTTGTAACCATGGGCCTTATTAATTAACCCAATAAGGCTCATCCAAGCCCAATACCACATCCTTTGGTCCAACTTCCCTTAAGCCCAATCCAATTAAAATAAAATAATTAAATTAAATATAATAATTACAAATAATTAATTCACATAAGTATAAATACACACAAATTAAATAAACAATTCAATCATAACATTTCACAAAGCAAAACACCATATCAATTCAACAAATATAATCACGAAATATAATCTAATTAAAAATAAGATAATTAATCTAAGTACTCAATTAAACAAAATAACTCATTTAAAAATAACATAAAAACAATTTAAACCCAATTAAATCAAACAATTCATTTTTTAAATGAAATAAAAATAATTAATTTTAATTAATAAATCCTTTAAAATATTGGGGTATTACAACAGTTGATTAGCCTGGGGTTAATACTGTCCATGCAACGGCTGCAGAAGGGGTTGAAACTCTTATCGCTGTTGTTGGTAGTAATTATGTTGAACCCCAACAGGCGCTGGAACTTGTTGCTGTGCATGCAACAAAGTGTTTATAGTATTTGATCGTGTCATAAGGTGTTGATCAAACCTTGTTGATAGGACGGTCAAAGAATTATTCAAATTAGCCAATATGTTATGGATTGGCTCTAGTTCTCCATGAAAAGTACGGTTGGAAATTTCCATCCATTGCACTAAGTTATTAATATCCTCAGCCAACATTTGATTACTTGGCTGTTGATTTACTTCGATTTCAGCCCTTTATTCTTGATGTTGAGGCTATTTCTCAGGCAAATTTTGTGACTGAGACCGAGTAAATGCCATAGATAAATGTTAAATTTAGGCCTTTTCGGTGTCCCACCGGGCATGCCAAATTGTTTGGCTTTTTTTTTTAGGGGCGTGCCAGAGTCTTTCGACCCAAGGGATTGGATAGCCAAACTATCATTGGTGCTGACCGAATTAGTAATCGGCCTTTTTATGAATCAGACGACTGCTGGAAGGCAAGGATGATTCCTTCCTTCAGGTTCTTCGACACCTCAATAAAGAGGACTTTCAGTACTATAAAACAAATTACACAAGCATTCATTAATTCCAAGAGACTTAGAAAATAAAAGTAGAGGGGACTGAAGCTAAATGTCGACTTTTATTTCATAAGTAAAATTCTCATACAAAGTACAAGAATTGTAAATCTAACACTAGGCTAATCCTATGAAAAGAAGTAAAGTACAAGGAAAACACTGTATGAAAATTGCAGAAATGAAAAATCATAAGCAAAAGAAGTGTAATACAATGAAAAGACTTAAGTAAATTGCAAAAAATGAAAAATATGTTGTGTGGTCGAATTATAATTTATTTTTAGGGTGCAAACAAATGTGCCCCTGAAATTTTTTTCTTGCTTCGTCCCTAATCTCTCCTATATAAATCATTTTGTATTCTTATATTCATCATCTCATTCGATACAGTATAATGTTATTCAATGTCTATTCCTAACAAAATTTGCTGAAGCTTACACTAAGAAAACTAGTTTATATATATTTTCATAATTGTCTATGAAAAATAATTGTAATAGAAGACAAAATAATACTATAAGACAGAGGTTATTAAAAATGTTAAAAATTTAAATACTATAAGTGAAATGACATGTAACTTTGGGAGCGAATTAAACCCATCCAATACAGGATTAGGCAATGGTAATGATGAGTTTCACAAAAGCTTTTCAATTAAAATCGAGGTGCGTCAGCTTGGTGATGCAACAAAAGAGGAGTTTTGCAGTGTAGCCACTTTTAACCTCCTGATCAAATTTGATTTTCGAGTAACAATTCGAATTTAATTTTTCTACTTCAACTTCTATAAGAATTTTCATTTAAAAAAAACAAAAAAAAGTCTTGTTGCAATTCTATTTCATGTTCATAACGTTTTGGTTATCGTTTCAGTAAAATCTATCAATTTTCTTCCATCTGAATATATCTCACCTCCATAAAATAAGTTTCGAATCTTGTAACCTATATTTACTTTTAAATGTTTCATTTTTGTATATTTTTTATTTATCACATGTAATTTAATTTTGAGTTAGATTAAATATGTGTTCCTTTCCATTGTGATGGGATGTGTGGATGATTTTAATTTTGAGTTAAGACATGAGTTATGAGAAAAGTGATAGACAATCATCTAAAATGGCTCACCAAGTGCAACAACGACTTGTAAAAATGCAGATGGGAAAAGAAAATGATGGAAAATAATATGAATTATGATACCAAGAAAACGTACAACATCATATAGATTGAAACGAAAAACATGATTCATATAGTCGAACAAGATAGTTGGAATTAAACTTTTATCTAGTTTATCTGGCTAACAATCTAAAACTGGCTAAATAAGTGTTGCTCATGAGTAGCCATTTGATCATATGAGTGGCTTATACACCTATCCATAAAAACAATTTACATATGGTATGCATAAAATATAGAACTATGCCCAAAAAATTCATTATGCTACTGATTAATTAGTTGGATGAGCATTTTTTAACTTATCTAAAAGGAAAAAAAGAAAAGAAAAAATTGCCAGAGTTGTTAGTATTGCACAACTTTTTCATATCATAGGTTTCTTTCTCAAACACATTTATAAACCATGGGTGGGGCTAATGAATAATCTTCCATGTATTGTACTAAAATTCTCAGCATTATAATTCAATCACAACCTCACTTTAACACCACATGTTTCATTCGTATGTATATATTTTGATCAATGAAGAGGTGAAGAAAAGATAATGGATGGATCAATTCTATTCACTTGTGACACCACATGTTATGTGTAGATACATATCACACAATTACACTTATAATTGAAAATTTGTCGTATGCTAAAATGATAATCACCTTGTTATATTTGTGAATGAAGATTCTATGATTTCCACTGATAAATAGGCACAAGTGCACAACTAAGGAGATAATTTGCCTAACTATTTTCTTTGCGAAAGGATACATATCACAAAATGCTGTGACACATTTTGCACCTTGTTGAATGTGTTCATCCTTAGTGACATTGGAACCAATAATTTTGCATTTAAATTTGGTTGAATTTTTGCAATTCTTGATCTGATAGATTCGTTTATTAATCTATTATATAATCCGATGCCAAAATTGGGGTTTTACTAACCTATTATATAATCCCATGCAAAATGTTGTGACACATTTTGCACCCTTGTTGAATGTGTTCATGTTTAGTGACATTGGAACCAATCATTTTGCATTCAAATTTGGTCGGATTTTTGCGATTCTTGATCCGATAGATTCGTTTACTAATCTATTATATAATTCAATGCAAAAATTAGGGTTTTACTAATCTATTATATAATCCGATGCAAAATGTTGTGACCCTTGTTGAATGTGTTCATCTTTAGTGACATTGGAACCAATAATTTTGCACTCAAATTTGGTCGGATTTTCACGATTCTTGATCCGATAGATTCGTTTACTAATCTATTATCTAATCCGTTGCCAAAATTTGGTTTTTTTAACAAGCATTTTAATAAAATGTGTTGAAACCTCAACAAACTCCAAGTAAACCCTCATTCTGACCATTGTAGCTTCAAATCCAAATTTGTCCAAAATTACTTACCTTTATGACCCATGTAAATACTCATTAGAAAGCTAATAGAAAACCCTAGAGGGACGTCAAAATTTCATCGAAATCCATCCTTTGTAGCTCAAGTTATGCCCAAATCAATTGAGCTTAAAAACACACCTAAAGTCACCTACAAAGCCCACTTTCTTAGAACAACATCCAAGTCTCAACACTCCAGCGTTCCCAACCGTCGATAACTCTTTAATCGGGTGGTTTACATTTAAAATTTTCCATTTGGAGCGATCCTCCTGCTCAGTTTTCAACCAATCAAAGCCCAGTTTTGGAATATGACCTCGAATACGCTCACTATTTAAATCGTTCATTTCCGTCATCGACTCCAACGGAAATACCAGTAGATACATTTGCTCTCTCTCTCAGTTTCATTCTCTGTCCAACACCAAACCCTAACCCTAGTTAGTGCGATTCAATTTCGCTTATTATCAGATGGCCACAGAAGAACCGGTTGTGGCGGTCGACTGCGCACCTGAACCTGAGGTGACTGAGCCGGCGGCGGAGGAAGTACCAGAGGCGAAAACCGGAAAGTCGAAGAAAGCGAAGGAGCCAAAAGCTAAGAAGCCAGCCGCCCCAAAGAAACCTAGAAACCCTCCTTCGCATCCTCCATACATTGAGGTACTGTAAACATTATGCGTTACCGTCGATTTGTCTTATTGGCCTTTGAAGTTTTAATTCGTTGTTTTAATTTTTGGATCTGATGATCTGATCTCTCTTGATTGATTATTTTACAGATGATTACAGAGGCGATCGTGACCTTGAAAGAGAAGAGTGGATCGAGCCAGTACGCGATCACAAAGTTCATTGAGGAAAAGCAGAAGTCACTTCCGGCGAACTTCAAGAAGCTGTTGCTGCACAATTTGAAGAAGTTTGTGGCTTCCGGTAAGCTTGTGAAGGTCAAGGGCTCGTTTAAGCTTCCATCGTCTGCTGCACCAAAGCCAGCGGCTACTGCTCCTGCGAAGAAGAAACCGGTTGCTACGGTGAAGCCGAAGACTGCCAAACCCGCAAAGGGAAAGAAAGCACCGGCGAAACCTAAAGCCGCTGCGAAGCCAAAACCGGCTGTTAAGGCCAAGCCGGCTGCGAAGCCCAAAGCCGCTGAGACCAAGCCGAAGACTGCTGCAAAGCCTAAAGCTGCCCCGAAGCCCAAGGCTACTGTGAAGAAGACTAAAGCTGCTACGAAGCCAAAGACTAAGGAGCCTCCGGCTAAGGCCTCAAGGACATCGACTAGAACAACTCCGGGGAAGAAAGTCGCAGCTCCCAAGCCGGCACCAAAGAGAACTCCGGCTAAGAAGGCAGTGGCCAAGCTGAAGACAGTGAAGTCTCCGACCAAGAAGGCAGCGGCAAAGAAGGGAAAGAAGTGAGGTTGAGAGAGTTTTCTGTAGGGTAGTACTGTAAATTTGGCTGTATGCTGATCAAAGTAATAGCATCGGATTTTTGCTTGTCTTTTGTTTGTTTTCTAATTTTCTGTAATTTTTCTCTCTCTTCCTCCCCACATTTCTCTTTCTTTCAAGGGATTTGAAACAGTGGTAAATGTTTTAATCAGTTTAATCTATCTGAGGTGAATTAGAATTAGATGTGTTTGCGCTTATGTTGTATCAAAGATGCATCTCTCCTTTATCATCCTTGGTGAGCACTTCAAAATTTTGTTGGATCTATTTTCCATTGGTTTGTGTTCAGAAAGGAGATATGGCTACACACTTGGTTAATGAGAGGTAAACAAATAATTCCTTTTTGAAATGCTTGTATTATGAATTGGTTGGTCTGAATTAATTATGCCTTTACTGACTGTGAAGGAGAAGCCAGAGGAGAATTTCTGAATCATACCAATTGGGGGACAAAGTACTAATGCTAGAGAGGTGAGTCAGTGACTGCTGCTTCTGTGTAGATTCATTTTGAGAATTCAAATCCATATAGTTTGTGCTGTTAAAATGGTGACTTGATAATTTTTTATATGGATTTATTATGTGCATTGAAGATGAATTATGATCGATTGGTGGTATTAACTTCTTGTACATTGATAGTTTCAATAACCCACAACTTACATTTTATTTCATTATTAGTTTTCTGTTTCAATAATAAGGATTACCTTCATCATCATATATGTGTTCTAGCTGTGGTAGCACACCAATGAGAGCTGCTAATACGGTCGCTATTTAAAAATTTCATTTGTCATTGACTGCTTCTTCGGTTTAGATTAAGTTTTGGGGCTCAATAGGTATTGTGTTTTAAATGGTGACTTGAATTCTTCTTTTCATATGGATTTATATTGTGCCTCATAGATGAATTATATGATAGATTGGTGGCAGCACTCCAATGAGAGTGGCTATATATGGATTCTTTATTTGCTATATCATCGGATACTTGTTGGAATCATCCTTTAATATGGGTTTCCTGTTGATGGGTAAGATATAATTGTATTATACGTAATCTGGTTGAGGTTTTTAGTGGGCTAGGTTATCGGAAGTTGTGGCTTACTTCTAAAAGAGAGTGGTTGTATTGAAGGTTATTAGGTCACAGACTCACAGTAGACTCATTGAGGTTATAACATTGGCACTTGGCAGGGGTTGATTTGGATCTAAGAAGTAGCATAGAGTTAATGGGGTTTCACCCTAGGGCCTTAGCTAATTTTGAATTCTCTTTCAGTTTTGGAATGGAGGTTTACCTATTGTTCATGGGTTAGAGTGCTGTGATGCTCACAATAATGTGGCGGTCTCACGTAGTCATACCACCCTTGGCTATTGCGGTCCAGTGAGACACTTGGATGGTACCAAGATGGTGAACATCTCCGGCAAGCCTCACTGTAATTGAGTGTTGTGAAAGCCCTCCATCATGATGCAATTCACTCTTGGGTAGTGTGACTACTTGTGGGTTTGGTCTTATATAGTGTTGCTATATCACAAAGTGTATACGCAATCCAAGAGTTACGTATTTTTCTTTTCAATACATGACGTGATGTGTAGATCTTAAGAGGAGGTCACTTGGTAGATCCTTGGATTGTAGTTACCAGTTATATTTTGACAATTGTATAGAGGGATCTGACATGTTTGTCTATCAAGTTATAGAGTCTCCATGAGACTTGCTTTTTTAATCAAGCAGTGCATGTTGTGTCGCGAAGGACAATGGTTTTTGTCTAAAAGATGGATGAGAAGAAGTAGTAAGAGATCCTCATAGGAAAGCTTACATGGGAAGAGGATCTTGTAATTTTGTCGAGGACTTGGACAGGAAATTTGGGAGCCATTGAAACTGCGGTCTGCGGTCTCAACGGAAAAGGACTTTGGTCATCATATTCCAGTAGAAGTAAAAAGAAATGGATTTTAAGAGGAAATTGAATTAATTCTCAGTCTGACTTCCCTTGCAATTCTCCAAAATAAAATTATGCTATGTACGTGTCAAAGAACTAAGGAAAAGGTTAACAAGACTTATTTGAGGAGAGATCATCACAATATCATGTAAATGCCTGTGTAGAAGGCTGCGAGATCTTTGCAGATTCGTGTAGATTACGGTAATAATAAAATTGGGGACTTGTTGTTGAGAGAGAGATTGTACAGCGGGAGAACTGCAATATAAAATTCTATTGAAGACCATAAAAGTGGAAAAAAGTGATAGGCAATAAGCCTGTAAAAAGAGGCAGAGATAAATTTGATAATAGGTGCGTGTTCTAGATAAGATAAACTTGTTGGAGATGGGCTTGCTTGTGAGGCATATGTTTTGCTGGTCACAATATAGTGATTGTGAGTTCATCAGTGGGATTAACTTGCAAATCCCTTTAATGGTGTGGTCTTAAATCTATTGGCGTGATTGATCCACTTCACATCAATACATGGTTAAGAAAAGCAGCGTTTTTCCCATTTTTCTTCTTCCTTTTTAGCATGCTTGCTACCTTGTTAAATCTCCATCTAATGGGAATGCCTCGTAACCAATTTGAAATGCATGTCTTGTAGTATTGATTACGAGCGTAGGGAGTAGGTTTGTATCCATGTGTTAGATATGCCAAATTCCCTATTACAAATAGTGTTATTATTTAATATTTTTATTTTATTTTAGAGTACAATACCGTTTCTATGTAACGGAGTGTTCAATATAGGATGTTCACTCATTTTGAAGCAATGGTAGAATAATAGTATTGGATTATTGGATATGCTTTGTAGTTGCATTTCAATCAAAAGTGTGTTACACATATCCCTTACCCATGTCCTAGTGTTCTGTGAGGCAATTCACCTACTGTAAAGATTTCATGTAATATAGAAACTAAAAGGTTTGATTCTTCTCCTTCTAGATAGTTTGTTCTTGTCTATAATCAGTTATGATTTTCTACTGGAACAACCTGGATTATAGTTTTGTATGAGAGGTGAAGCCTAGGCTTTTCTCAGTTTTGATTCTCTCTCTTACCGGACCAACCTTGATCAGTTTCCAACAAGCGCCAAAGCTTGGTTCATAATCCAATTATACATTAGCTGGTGATTATTCCATACATGAACAAAACTAGGCGAGCTCGAGGATTCTACAAAATTAGTTTGGCAGTACAAGAATCATTTTGTTTCTCCATCCGAGTTCTCATTATCTAGAAGTTGAAACTTGAAACATGAAACAGAAGGGCCCCAACTGTAAACATTTTCTGTGAAGTTGAAATTTATCTTATATTTTTCACATGGATTGCTAGGGAGTAGTATAATATGGTTTGCTAGGGAGTAGTAGCTTTTAGATTTGGAAGCTTATTATTTTCCTACCGTAGAAATTTGGATTAGAAAATGTTCGACCACGGACTCCAACTTAGAGTTGAGTATTTAGTTAGTTTTTTTGGTCATTTGGGCTAGATCGCATTGGGGGTACTCAATGAGCTGAATTAAGTTGAAATTCTATCTTGTGGATTTGAAACCTATACTTTTGTGGAAAATTTAGATAACTGTTAATTGATCTTCTAGTTATCTTTTTTCACCCTATAAATCCCATTCCGCATGTTCTTTTTCATTAATTTCTTTTATTTTCTATATTCATTACCCAAGCTATTTGTCGCTAAGGCTTGAGTGTGGTTTTTACTTAATTTTCTTGCAGATTAAGAGATGTCCAGCTAATGCTATTTGCTTTTCACGGATAAATCTGTTTTCTGGAATACAGCAGGAGGGGTAGAGATAATCAGTGCGGTAATGAGGCCTAGAAACAGTGGTCTTTTTTGTACCATGATGAAAATTTTGAAGAGAAGGTAGGAAGATGTAAAAGAGGTATCCCTGAGAAAAATAAAAGAGGTATTGCATGATTTGGTCATTACAATGTTCCATAATAAAGAAAAGACTTTATGGAAGGGCAAAATTATATGACTGGCCTCCTTCCTTTCCTCCCACTTTTGGGAGGAGGGGATACTGTTGTATGCCTGGCTTCCTCACTTCCATCTTCTTTTTCTTCCCTACCGAACAAAGAAAGGCCTTCCAGCCCTTCCCTTTTCCTCTTCCTCATTCTCTCCCTTCCAACTGGTCCGAAAGTGCTGACATATTTTTGAAGTTTATAACGGTATGGGCAAGATTCAAGCGAAGAATTTTAAGATTGTTTTACCATTATAAGCAAACTAAAGATTGGAGAAGTAGACTAACTCTCGGGTGGGGAGGAAATAACAGAAGTCGTTGAGACTACCTCGGGTGGGGAGGAAATGACAGGAGTTGTTGAGACTACAATGATAGTTTCTTATGAAATGAAGTCAAAGATCCGCGATGATAGTTCCATTGCTTCACATTGATTAAGCCCTAACTTGAAGGCCGCGTTTTTAGAATATTGTTGTTGCTAATTTTTTACTGATTTTATATCATTATCCGTTGATTTTAAGGGAGGAAAAAAAAAAAAAAAAATTATAGTACCATTTGTGTATTATAAATAGTTTTTTTACCTTACCTTTGCATATGACGATTTTTTAAAAAGTACTCTCATTTGGCCGTTTAGGTTTCAAAGATACTGTAAAATACGTTAATTTTATCGTCACTTCCAAATAAAATGATTTCAAACATTTTGATACTAGTCAGTCCCTACACTTTTTTTTTTAATATCCCATATCCCCACTATTTTGCTTTCCTATTTTTATCAAAAATATTTATATACCAAATTCAATGCATTTAGCACCATCAGTAAAATTCTAATTCTATATTTTTCTAAAATACATTTTTTTTTTTTACTAAATAAATTGAATTTAGAACTCCAAATGGATGGTCTTCAATTAAGTAATGGAATATATATATATATTCTAAATTTTGTTTGTAATGGGAGATATTTATTTTGTTTTTGGAAGTTTATTGACTTTTTAGTGATAAAATGAATGGAAAACACTTCTAAGATTTAAGCTTGTTAATGTATTATGTGATATTCTAATCTAATTTAATTGTAATTAATTATGCTTATGTACTAATTATATAGAGAGAGAGAGAGAGAGGTTTATCAAGAAAAGATTTGAAAAAGGGATGATTTATTTATTTATTTTTAGATAAACTTAGTTGATTATTTGAATTATTTATATTTTTTTAGTATTTGTGATGAATTTATGATGATAATATTGATTAATTATATTTAATTAGTTTATTTATTTCATGGTTATTGTGATAGTGTCAATTTGTATAAAATGAAAATTTATTTTATTATTTCTAACATTTTATTATTTATTTTATTATTTGTTGCATTTTCTTTTAATGTCTTTATGAGGATATTATACATAATAAAATAAAAAATGTATATAATAGTGAATTTTTAATCCTGAATTTTTAATCCATGTAACGTATTATATACGTACGTATTTGTATTTGAAATTTTACATTTCCGTTTTTTTCAGTCGATTTTTTATTACATATTTTTTCTAAAAAAATTTGAATTATCATCATGCGTTTTCAAATCACTCCTGACTTGAATAGTCGTACGTTTTCAAATCATTCCTAACTTGAATAGTGTGTGTATTGTGAGGCCGATATACGTGCTCTAAGGGGAAAAAAATAATTAGAAGAGTTTGTTCAATTGATGAGACAAAATTAGATAAATAATAAATAAATATTTGAAAGAAAAAAAAAATGAATGCTTACTCGGGTTGGGCTATTAGTCGGAGTCATGCATGAGGGCCTAAGCCCAATGTCACGGACTTGGACCTTTCCAAGCTCCCGTGTGGCCTTAGATCATTTTAAGCCTAAGTCAGCCTACCCGAGTGTGTTAGCTTAGTGAAGACTAAGGCTAGACAAGTGCTTTGCTTACTTAGGTATGTAGGAAGAGATTTAGGCAAGTGAACAATAGAGTTTGGGAATGTATGAACACTTGTATTACTTGAGAGGAGATTACAACTTAGGTTGCTTGGTGATGAGTAAATGAACTCTCACCTCCTATTTATAGGCTTTTGGTCCTTACAAGAACATTCTAGATATGTACAAATGTTTGGCCTAAAATATGTATCTAGGATCCTCCAAAGATATATCTATACAATTCTAGAACTATTTACAATGTACAAGACAAGTCTAGAGAATTCTATACAACTCTAGACAAGTCTAGAAAAGATTAGATAACTCCACATTAATCTAAAGAATTCCAGAAAGTTTTTTTTTAGAAAATAAAGCAACTGACATTGATATAAAAAAAATTTACAAGGTTTGAGGCCGAAGCCCAAATACATAGGATAAGACAGCCCCAAAGGGGAAACAAGGCATAGGCCCATTTCGATAACAAAATGACTCATACTAGCTGTATTGAAACCATAGCAATGAGAACACTAGAAACTTTTCCGGTAAGCGTTTGTAGCTGAAGTAACAGCTATGTCTAGCTATCAGGAGGTCGAGGAGGTGGTCTGCAGCACGACGGAGGAAGATCCCATTCTAAGAGGATTGATCTCGAAGCTGTGCAATCCTTTAGAATTCCTATTCTCATAATTGAGGTGATGGAGTAAGTGATTTTGGCTATAAGAGTTCTTTGTGAGTATCTTCCCTTCTTGAAGATTCTACTATTGCGTTCTTCCCAAGTGTGATAGACAATTGAAGAGAGACATATTTTTTTAACTAGATTTTGTGGAGAATTGGACTTCCACATGAAGCTTACCAGCTGCACCAACATACTCCAGTTAGAGATCACTGTTGAGAAATGACCCTTGTCCTTGATGAACCTCCAAATTGGCGAGATGAATGAGCAGGTGAAAAACAAGTGGTTATGTGATTCCATTGCATTAGAGCAGAGTGGACACAGGTTTTGGAATTTGCTCATGGATTTGCAGTCAAGTGTTGGCAATCTAGATTGGACTGCCAACCACAAGTTGAATTTCATCCGAGGTATGATAGGGGAACTCCATACCAAATTAAACCAAGGAACTTTATCAAGATGCCCTGCTAAGTGAGCTGTTGTATGCTTGAAGCTGTAGCGTCCAGTAGGAGAGGCAGTCCAAATCTTCTTATCAGTGTTAGCTGGACATGGAGGTTGAATATGCAGTAGCTCTGGGATAAGAGTTGCGAGTGACTGTGGGAATGACCATGTGTTGTTTCTGTCAATGAATGAGTCAAGAGTGGCGGTTTCATTTATGCCAGCTGCAGTGAGAACATAAGATGCAAACCTAGTGCAAAGTGGACCTCCTGGAGCCCAATTGTCCAACCAAAATGATGTGCCAGTTCCATTACCAACCTTGTGCTTGATTAAGAGCCTAGTTGGATGCCTTAATTGCAGTAGTTTCCTCCAGCTCCATGAGCAATTGTGTGGAATTTTTAGTGACCACAAGTTTTTGGATTTGATAGAGTGAGAGTTGCACCATCTAATCCAAATTCTATCCATGTTTCCACATTGTATATCCCAAATGTGCCTCATGATTCCTGCTTTGTTTGCCTGCTCTAAGTTTGGAATGCCAAGCACTCCAGCTTTTTTAGGTTTGCAAACCTTGTGCCAGGCAACCTTAGAACTGGAAGCTTTCATCTTAACCCTAAACCAAAGAAAGGATCTAAAGACTCTGTTGAGCTCTTCAATGACTCCTTTTGGTAAGATGAAAATATTGCTCCAATATAATTGTGTTGATACCAAAACAACTTTGATTAATTGTAACCTGCCTGCATATGAGAGAGACCTTGAAGTCCAGTGGGAGATTCTTTGGGTGATTTTGTTGATAAGCAAGTTGTAATGTGAGGCTTTTAGGCATGTTGTAATCAGTGGCACTCCTAAGTATTTCACTCGGAGGTCAGCTTGTTCAATACCCAGTAATGAGATAATGGCTTCCTGGGTGTGAGCCTCAACTCGAGAGAGAAAAACTGAGCTTTTATTCAAATTTACCTCAAGACCTGACATGCAATAGAAATGGTCAAGGGCACATTTAAGAACTGAGACTGAAGAAATGTCCCCATGACAAAACAGGAACAAGTTATCAGCATATGACAGGTGTGTGATCTTTGGATCCTTGCATCTCCAATGGTACTTGAAGGTGTGAACCCTGTCCACATAATTCTTGATAATGGAAGAGAGGGCATCCATTGCAATGACAAAGAAAAAGGGGGAAAGGGGGTCCCCTTGCCTCAATCCTCTTTTCCCTTTGAAGTATCCCTGAAACTCTCCATTAAGAGCTATGGTGAAAGATGGCGAGGTCTAGCATGCTTGGATAAGTGATATAAATTTCTGAGAAAAATGATGTAGAGTGAGACAGTTGAAAATGATGTCATCGTCTGTTGGGCGTCTGCATAACGTTTGCGTGGCGTAACTTCTTGGTTGCGGCGCGTAACACCATGCTTGGTTTAGCAGCTTAACTAGGTAGTGTCAAACTGGTCATTGGGTTATATGAAGAAGTCATTAAATCAACCAGGATTATATGGGTATTAGGTTGCATTAATTCAAAGAGACTTTATGACTTTTATTTTATTTAATCTTTTTAAGAAGTTTATTCAAATGTAGACACACCCTCTCATGATTTTTTGTCCAGGAAAAAAAAAAATTTACCCGCCTTTAGGATTTATTAAAAATGATTTAAAAAAACTTAAATTTAAAAAGAGAAAAAAAGTATAGAAAAAGAGAATTTATGAATTTCATTATTCATTTTAGACATTGATAGGATTTTATTGCCCCCAAAAAATATTTACACGAAAAAAAAAAAAACCCCTACAAATAAATATCGAGACACAGTCTTTCCCTCTCAGAGTCGTCGTTACTGTACAGATGGTTTTCAGAACTTGCGCTTCTCTTTTAGCAAGAAGCACTCCAAGAGGTAAGCTTTCATACCCACCACTAAGACACACTAATAACTCCGATATCAAACTAACGAACACAAAATTCAATGCCTCACTTTCCAACCCAGATCTCCCTCTTGACAATTTCTTAAAATCAAACTGTAAATCAGGCAACATCAATCTCAACGATGCATTAAGCTTCTTTGATCAGATGCTTCTCATGCAACCCATTCCTCCTACTTCATCCTTCAATCTATTGTTAGCTGCAGTTGCCAAAATCAAGAACCATCACCATGTCTTGTTGTTATATAATCAAATCATATCAGTCGGTGTATTGCCTAATTTCATTACGCTCAACATTTTGCTTAATTGTTATTGCAATTTGAGTCGGGTTGGTTTTGGTTTCGGGGTTTTGGGTGGAATTCTGAAGAGGGGTTATGCCCCGAATACTGTAACTTATACATCACTGATGAAGGGGTTCTGTATGGAGGGTGAGATTGGTGAGGCGGTTGGGTTGTTGAAGAAAATGGTGGGATTGGGTTGTCGACCCAATATAATTACGTATGGGACTTTGATTAAAGGATTGTGTCAATCGGGCAACACAAGCTTTGCACTTCAGTTGCATGACGAAATGTTGAATGGGAATGGTGGTCTCCGTTTCAAGTATGAACCGAATTTAGTTTGCTATAGTACCATTATTGATGGTCTTTGTAAAGATGGGTTGATAGATAGGGCTAAACAACTCTTCTTGGAGATGAAGGATAGGGGAATTTCGTCAGATGTAGTTGTTTTTAGCTCCCTAATTCATGGTTTGTGTTATGCAGATAAGTGGGAAGAGGCCAAAAGTTTCTTCAATGAGATGTTGGATCAAGGCATTCGTCCTAATGTAATAACGTTTAATGTGTTGATAGGTGCACTTTGTAAGGAGGGGAAGATCCAAGAAGCACAAAGGTTGTTAGACTTAATGATTCAGAGAGGTGAGGAGCCCGATACTTTTACATATAACACTTTGATGGATGGGTTCTGTTTGGAGGGTAGAGTTGATGACGCCAGGGAGTTGTTTGTTGTGATGGAGACTAAGAGCCATGGGCTTGATGTTATTAGTTACAATGTGTTGATCAATGGGTATTGCAAGAGTTGGAGGACAGGGGAAGCAATGGGGCTCTACAGGGAAATGCTTAGTAAGGGAATCAGACCTACCATTATTACTTGCAACACTTTATTAGCTGGTCTTTTTCAGCAAGGTAATGTTAGGAACGCACGAGAGCTTTTTGCTAAAATGCAAGTCCAACACATGATACCAAATTCATCTACATATAATATATTCTTGGATGGGCTTTGCAAGAATGGCTGCCTTGTGGAGGCAATGGAATTGTTTCAGACGCTTGATAGTAGAGGGTTTGAACCGAGCATTATAATCTTTAACTGCATTATTGATGGGTTGTGCAAAGCAGGAAAGCTTGATATTGCCATGGAGCTATTTAGCAGATTGTCTCAAAAAAGTTTGGTGCCAACTGTTGTAACATATTCCATCATAATTAATGGACTTTGTAAACAAGGGCAGTTGGAAAAGGCAAATGATTTGTTTCTGGAAATGGAAGACAAGGGTTGTGCTCCAAACATAGTCACATTTAATACTCTTATGCGTTGTTTTTGTGAGAATAATGAGGCACCAAAAGTGGTAGAACTTCTTCAAAAAATGGTAGAGAGAGAAGTCACACCAGATACATCCACAGTCTCCATAGTAGTGGACTTACTGTCAAAGGATGAAAAATACCATGAATATTTGAATATGCTTCCGACATTTCCTGCTGAGGGGCCAAAAGACAGATGACATGTTTAACGCAGTCACTAACATGGGCTTTCGTTAACGACCCTAATTTGAAAGAATTTCTGGATTAAGGTCATACCAGAAGTATGGCAGCATGAAAGTGCATTACCAAAGTCCCAAAGGAAATCATATTTAATTTTGAAGAATACCTTGATGGGTCAATCTAACGATGTTCTGATATGGGCAATCTTTTGAGATGACTAGTTATACATCTGCAATGTAATGTGAAACTCCATGAATCAAGATGTTTGTTCAGAAACATGGGCATGGAACACAGTACGTGTCGAATATTTCCTCTTGCTCTCATGAACTGAGAAAGCGGTAAAAACAAATGGTTTATCAAACAAGGGTGATAAACAGATACAAAGTTAGGTTTGACAGGTCTTTCCCTCCCAGTACCTTGCAGGTAATACTTTTTATTTATCCTAAATGTAGAATCATTTGCAATATTATTTTGAATGTAAATTACTTTCATTTTTTTTTCCTAGTTAATTACTTTCAATTTGTTCCTTGGTGAATGTTAGTAGAGAATCATTTACAGTAAAATGCAATTTTATATCTCATGGCAGCATTTTTGTATGTCTCTCTGACTCTTTGTTTCCCTGTTGTGTACCTTCCTTGTAATCTTACTCGGAGGCAGCCTAGAAAAGATGAGTTTGTGTTCTTTGGCTTCAATGACAATAAGTTATCATTTATCTCCTATCATCATCTATTATGATATCCACAATCTTTCTCAGCCACTGTGTATCTTTCTTTGTCTCTCACATAGCACTCATGTACGCACATGCAACTCACTAGGCTATTGCTGTATTGAGTTGGGGGCATAAATCATGGTTTTGATAAGTGTGTTGGTTTCTGCCTGCAAATAGACCATTGAATTTTACCGTATTTCAGGATTTGGGACTTGAGAAAACTTCCTGGAAGCCTTTTTAGCTTGGTTGAAAGGACAAAAAAGGTTGAATAAAAGTTGAGTTTGAATTTTTGGCTGTTCACTGTTTCGTGCTCTTCCTTTTTTATTTGCAATGTTCTTGTTTGTTTATTTATTTAATTTTAGTAAATTGACTTTTAATCTTTATGCATCCAAAGCAGCGGAATATATACTGCATGATTTCTTTGCCATTTAGTACAACAGTCCTGGTTAGGTTAGCATTTGAATACGGAAATTAGTTTGCTGACAATACTTTTTGGGATTTTTTTTTCTCTTTTTATTATTAGATTCTGCAAAGGAAGAGCCAGATGTTCATATTCCTCATGCCTTGGATGGTTTGCTGAGGGTTCGTAATAGCATTATTAATGGGGACAGTGATCCAGCTCATACTCCATCTGGTGCTGGTGGGATGGTTTGTACAAAATCTATTTAAGAAACTTCTACTTGTACAATTCGTGTTCTTGGAGCAGGTAGTTTATCAGTTCAATTCCATCCAGTATCATTTGAATCTTGTTTGTATTTACAAAATAAGCATTTATCTGCTATGAGATGTCTTTCTTTTGTCCTTGTTGTTTCTATTCCTTAATGTTGTCTTTTTCTTCTGGTTGTGAATTTTCCTTGTTTATATTTACTTCATCCCATACATTCCTTTTACCTGTCCAAATATTTATAGTTTGTTTTCTCATCTTTTGCTGCTAGAGTTATATGTGTGAAAGGAGCATTTATAATCATTGAAACTCATTTTAGCTCTTGCTGCAATTAGGTGTTTTCAATATCCAACTTATTATTTCATGGTATCTGAGTAAAGTATATGGTCCTCATTACTTCAGAAAACCTGCCACCCTTTCCTCCGCCAGATGACAGCACTGTTGAGATACAAGGGAGCCTGCAGGTGTGCATAAAACAGTTGAACTGATTGCAAACCATCTTAGGAAATTTTTAGTTGTTCGCAGTGTCATTGCAGTATTTGAGATGTAAATAAGTTTGCTCCTCATATATTCTTAGAACATTGTAGGCTATTAAGAGTGCTAACTAGATGGGTGCATATGAATGAGAGGTTAATATGCCATTATTGTACTTTTACAATACTTTCCCGCTCTTCTTAATGATTACTGATGAATGGCGGGCTTGGTGTATACTGGAAAATGGGTCAAGCATACAAGGTGCTAATGCACAAAAGATGGGGGAAAATAAGTCTCCCATCATTTATTTTGAATGACTTACTACTTATATTGGTGTAACATATTGGCAAATTACTAAAATGGTTGTTTGCCCTACTCCCTTGGGGCAAATAATATTTGATAAACACAATATCAAAACTTAATGTAGTAATGTGAAGTACCAATTTGGCTTTTGGGGCTGTGTGTTGTTTCATTCAGAATCGGGCTTGAGTTCTAAGCTTAAGTTGAGCTAGGCAATCTTAGGCGGGTTGTTGAAATGTTAACCCACCCTCCTTGCCTCAAACCGAAAAGAAAAAAGAAAAGCTGGATTACATGAAGTTTCACTTACCTCGGTCATGTGCTTTTTAGTTTTATCTATAATGCTTGTAAATTATTTTGGTCAGATGCAAACGGCAAATGTTAATCAGACCATGCCCCCACCCCAATCTTGGGGCCCCTCTTCCCAAGGTTTTTCGATGAACACTGGTGGTGGATCTGGTTTTGCGCCTGATCCTCAATACATGCAGCCTCCACGTCTATTTGACTATCCACCAGCAGACTTGCCTCCTATGGACAAGCAGCCTCATCAGTGTCCTCCTGCTTATGGAAGAGGTGTGTTTATGGGTGTTAACATGAGTACAGCCACAACAAAGGTGATATTCTTTGCTTATCTTTATTTTTTGCTGTAGATAGTGTAAGAAGGGAATATTTCCCAATGGGATGGGTGCACTAAACTTTTTTTCCCTCTTGATAACTCACTTTTTTTTTTTTTTTCCTCATTTTATTTATTTATTAAAAATGATATAAGTACTTCATTTTTCTATCTTACCTAGTCCAAATGCTAAAATGAGTAATGGAAATCCAAATATTAATCAACAGTGGAAAGTTACTAAATTATTTTTCACGTCACAGTTGATTGAGTTGTCATTTTGATTTTTACTAGTGAAATGATGACCTAATTTCATTACCTATTTTATGCTAAATAAGACTGTCCTTTACAAATTCCCAGGTGGGTGTGAGCTTGAGGCCAAGGTATGATTTTTCAAAATTATACCGTACCAAAAAAGGTTCTTTAAACTATTTATTTGGTAAAGGTTTTACACGCCCAATGGTATAACTTCCCTACCCTCAAAAAAAGAGGGGCGTGGGAAATGTGTGTGTGAGTACTTACCTGATAAAAAAATATATATATATATGCTTTTATATGGACTGCCTTGGGGGAGACCATCCTGTTTCACAAGGCAGCGTGTTACATGTTCAATTAGTAATCTGCCCTTCCCCACTCCCTTCTTTCCCCTTTCCCCTTTTCCTGGTGGCACAATTATGCAAGTACTTCCAGTATTTATGTGTCTAAAGCAGTTTACAGTCTTACACACCAAAACTGACAGTAGGTTGTGTTGATATACTTGTATTAAAAGATTTATGATTTGAGAATTATTATCTATGTATAAATAGTTGAGAAAGCCCACAACTGGATGAAATTGGAAATTTAGTAAATCTAATGTTGATATTATTTCTGGGGCAAATGCAAAATGTTCTGCTAGACTATATCACACATTTGCAAATAACTCCCTATAGTGTGTGTGTGTATATATATATATATATTTTCTTTTTAACAAAAAATAAAAGAAAAAAGAAAACTAAACTACAAAAGATTTGCAGAGACCTAGGGATGGCAATGGGGTGGGTTTGGGACAGGTTGACCTAAACCCTACCCTGCCACATTTGATCAGAGAGTTTCCCATACCCGTCCTGAAACTGGGTCGGGTTTCATAGTTAGATCCCATCCCCGACCATTTAAAAATGAAAAAAACACAAGATTCTGATCTCAAAACTACTGCATGTTGCACTTTTATCGGCCTTTGAGCTGCTCTATCTGTCATACTCAAATTGCATTTGCATCAGCTAGAATTGCATATAGTAGTACAACCAATCTCTACAAATTTGGTGTAATCTCACTATTGATCTCTTACCTTATGGTTTTGTACTTTATGTTGGAATCTAACCATGCCATGTAGTTCAAATGCTGTAGGAAAAACAGGCAATGAGTGAACTGACTGCTGATATATTATTAAGTGTGGTGTATTATGTGAGTTTGCTGTAGGTAAACAAGACATGAAGCCCAACAGCAATTGGTAGTGGTATGTATTTATCCCAACCATGGGGCATTTGTCTGGAGCTTCCGCGTGACCACAATTGTAGAAACGACATAAAATGGTGTGAGATGTTAAAAACTCCATTAGTTATAAACGGAAGTGATGTGATGATTCAAGGGGCAAATGCTGCCATTTGAAAAGTGAACAGTATGCTGATTCTGTTGGAAGTGGATGGATTTTGTTGGATAGCAAAAATTGAAGGCAGCAAGGTGATCAGTCACTTGTATTGCCATGGCGCACCGAAAGTGACATAATGAGAAGCTACCCAAGGAGGTAACTTATTTGGGCAAACTTTAGAGTTTAGAGTCATGTATTAGGAACGGTACATGACTTATTTGGAATAATTTGCGGTTGAAAAAATCAATTATTATTATTATTTTCTCCTCTCTACCAATTCCTCTAACTCTAGAATTAGAGGTTGACCATACAAGCCAGCCATATGAAGATCAGTGACTTATAGTTCTTTGGTTAGCTCATCAATTTTATTAACATATTTTAATAAAATTTGCATGGTACAACATACCGACACAAAAATATCCATACATATTTTATTAACATATTAAGCCTAAATTATACATGGTCAAAACTGATTTTAGTTCACTTGGGTATATTCGGCCCTTAATATTCTTTTTGCCCTTTATCTCACCATCAAAAAGTTGGCAAAACATGATATGAATTTGTGATAATTTATCCTTTCTATTTGTGGTTTGTTTGTTTGTTTTTTTAACTAGATCTTTGTATATTAAATATTTAATTAAGTTCAAATTTTGGTTTAATTGGTTTGACCAATATCAAATGCACAAGTGGCATTATAATGATTACGCATTAAAAAAAATATATATGTGTTGATTAAAAAATATTATATATGCGCACATATGTATCATTTGCAAAGGTTCATGTAGAATGTAATGTGCATTTGAAAAATGCCTATTATATTTACCAAAAGTAGGACAACTTTAAGGTTTTATTATTATTTATTACTATTATATAATGTACTTCAGAATTAATTATTTCTTTTTTCTAGATCCCCATTTGAAAAAAGATTGATTGTTCTTAAAAGGTCCTATGTCTTGATACATTTCAATTTTTTATTTTTTACACATAAAAAAGTACAAAAAAAGGATTTTACATAAAAACCATAGAGTTGATTCGTATTGAAGCTTTGTTTAGGCCTCAAACCCATATATGGTTGATATAGTGCAAAAGAAAGAGTATTCACTCCTCCGTTTCAATTCCAAAAACATAGAAGTCCTAAAAAAGAATTTATAGGACAAAAAAATCATACTTCATATAAATATTTCCAATTGAGTTCTAAACTAAATAAAATTTCTATGTTACCCTTTTCATTTTACCTTTTCAACCCCTTTCTCCCGACGCACGCTTGCGAACCCAGTTTGATTCAGTAGCCCCTTTCCTCCTCTACGCTATGATGTTTTGCTGTTTTTACATTTGCAATTAAAAATCTTTTTGAACTAGTTTGATTCAGTAGCCCACTAGCCCCTTTGCTATAGCAACATAAAAAGGTTTTAAGAAAAGTAATACATAAATATCAAACAGATGTTTATTTCATGGCCGCTTAAAAAGGAAAACACACACATTTAACTAGTTCAAGCTTGCGAACCCAGTTTGATTCAGTAGCCCCTTTCCTCCTCTATGCTATAGTAACAGATGTTTATTTCATAGCCGCTTAAAAAGGACAAAAGCTAAATTCAAAACATATATTCAACTATGGGGCTTTATGGATTCCGGTGACCAAGGCATCCATTGATTCCGGCGGCAATCTACAGTGTGTTTGTGGAGGAACGAATTGACTTTGGTGGGCGAGGTCGTAGGGTTGGGTTTGGAAACAACTACAGATTGTCTTTATTGGCGAATCAATATGTAAAAATGTGAAGTTGTAATGGAGCTCACCGTCGCGTTTTGCAAAGATGGCTCGAGGTAGTGGGGGCAGATTGCTTGGACGTCTCTATTTGGCTCTGGGTTCGCAAGCTTGACGTACCGATTGCTTAAGGGAGAAAGGGGTTGAGAGATATGGAAAGGGTAAAATAGGAATTCTACTTAATTTAGAACTTAATTGGAAATATTTATGCAGTATTGGACTTCTTTATTCTATAATTTTTTTTTTAGGATTTATTTGTCTTGAAAAGTAGGACTAGGTGAAATTTTTCCTTTTTATTTTTTTATTTTTATTTTCGTTGACTTATTGTGGATTAGAACTCATGAAAGCTGGGGCAAATCCAGTAATAAAACATGTAAGAAGGACTGAAAGGCAATTATCCAAACATGCCCGATCCCTCTCCATAAACCTATTCGATTTATCGTCACGTATAGCCTCCCTCCACTTCTCTCCCGCTCGCTTGCCGCTTCTCTCTCTGTTCGTGGCCTCTAAACAATCTTTTTTTCTGTAAGTGTTCACATCTATATCTATATATGATCATGCATCGAAACTCAATTAGGCTTTACACAATACTTATATCATTACTTCTTACGTCTTTAGGTTTTGTTCATTTGTATGCTCAAGATGTTTCTAGGGTTTCGTTACATGTATATATACGCATTTAGATTTGAGAGCTCTGTTGGGATTTCTGTTATATATTTGATGCAAGTGTTGGTGGGAACGTCGTTGGGTGATAATTTCATTCTTTGTTTCTTATATTCTTTTTATTTTATTGTCCCCTTCCTGGATATGTGATTATCTGTTTTATTGATGAGAAAAGGATTGGAAAAGAAAAGAAACACAAAACAATTCTCCATATACTAGAAAGTGATGGGTTGTTTTGTGCTTATAGGTCGGAGCTCCGAAGTATTTGTATTAATCTTAAATTTTGGGGTTTTTTTTCCCTTGGATTTACGAACTCCATTTGTTGGCACCTGTGAGTTTGAAAATAATGCAACTATCATTTTTCATTAGGTTTCTTTCTTCCCTTGAGAAATTGAAAGCCAAAAGCATAAAATAGTGGTTCATCACTTCCCTTTTTTCAGCAACTAATTGGAGTGTTTTATCATCTGTTAAGTTGTAATTCCATGCACTAGTATTGATCTCCTTTTCTCATGGTTAGATTATTTTGTTGATGACACTTGATAGGTTTTTGCTTTCTTTATATATAGATTTATATTAGAAGGTAAAACAATTTCGAACTTGGTTCTTTGATGAAGAATGACTGGACATGTATATATACACACACATGCATACATTTCGTCTTAATCTTTTTGTATTGTTTGTTCCCTATAACTCGAGAATATGGTCACTTCTAGCCTTCCGAATGAAAATGTAGATGATAATTGTTTGTTTTGTATATTATTTGGTACATTTATATTGATTATTTCTACTTGCTTGCTTGTTCAGCAAATGGCAGAGGAAAATTTCGATGAACATGACGTGGGAAGTATACCTGAGAACTCGCAACCTCCAGATGTACAAGGTTCTGAAAATGATTCAGGGGTAGGTGGAGAAAAGAAATGGCCTGGATGGCCTGGAGAGAACGTTTTCAGGATGATGGTTCCTGTACAGAAGGTTGGTGGTATCATTGGCCGCAAGGGAGAGTTCATTAAGAAAATCTGTGAGGAGACGAAGGCTCGCATTAAAATTCTTGATGGTCCTCCTGGGACTACAGAAAGAACTGTGAGTTTATACACACATATATATCTCTTATTTGGTGTTACGTATCCCATATGGGAATATTATGGATAAAGTACTATTTGATAGTGTAAAGATCTTAGTATGTCTTCTTGTTGGTCATTTTGTAGAGTGATGAGCTGATGGTGTCATGGATATTAGTCAATCAAATGGTGCTTACTTATGTTTAATCTGGTTGCGATGCATTCTCAGAGTTTATTTTTTGTCCCTTTACATTTTTTCTTTTCTTTTACCCTTTCATCTCTCCCCTTTTCTCTCCATCTCCCTCTGTAGATATATACATATCAATGTATATTGTTGAGTTGTCTATTAGTATATTGCCATGATATTGTACAAACTGTCTACTGAATTGGTTTTATGTAGTCAATATTTTGACGGTGGCTAGAAAGATTGTTACTTTGATTATATTGTTTCAAATTTGTATCTTTATGAACATATGTAAGATGCACGAAACTTCATCTTGATCTAACCATTATAATGCGATGAAAGGTAACCATTGGAGTATTACCTTTCACATTTTAACAATGTTCTTTTGTTAAATGTTATATTACTTTTTATAACTTTAGCTACATGTTGGTGGAACCTTTTAGTACCTTTTGTTTCGCCTATCATTGTTTAGCTTCAGCTGTTAAGGAAGGAAAAAGGATTTTTTACATTGTCAATTGGTACTTAATAATTGACCACAAAAGCTGAAAATTTGTTGTTTAGGAGTATCAAAACAACTGTCAACTATTAAGTATTATTATATAATAATAAGACACATTCCCTTCAAGATGAATTGGTTATGGAAAAGATGAAAAGTAGTAAGATGAACAACGAGAGAAAAGAAATGGAAATATCAAATTTAACGAGCAGGTTAAAGTAGAGTTTATTCATCCGAATAACCAAAATGAATGTGTGCAGGTTCTCCGCAAATTTAAGGCAACTTTCAATCACCAATGTGGCTTCAATTTAGAAGAGCCAAAGATCCAGATTGCAGGGATCAGCGTTGAGCATTACAACTCCTGAAAAGTTCTTCTGACTTGACTGTCAGAAATACATTGTGCGGACATTGGTACCAAGAAGCTTTGCATTATATCTGGTAACTTCAGAACTTGGTCGATTGGTGTCGTGCCACACATTGTTGAACTTAATACAAGAAAAAAAACCATAATTGGTAATAATAAGATGCAGTATCCTAAATGTCAAATCAGATTTGTTTTAGATTATTTAATTAGTAGAAACAATCAGTATAAAACCCCCTAATATAGCGCGATTAAAAGTTGACTAAAATCTATAGGTGATATAAATATTTTATCTTTATACTATACGAGCAACATTCTTCATAGATTTTTTAAATGTCATTTGGAAATTATTGTCCCCTTATTTCCTGTAAATAGAATATTTGTACAGGTTAAAGTAACTAAAATGTAAAATGGAATGAATGCTTACAGATACATCTATCTAAAATACTAAAAGACTCGAGCATACAAGCGTATATGGAACTAGGTATTCAAGAAAAAAAATTAAGAATATTGAGGAAGTTAATAGTGGATTTCCTTTAATATGTCCTTGATTACTGTATAGACTTGGGAGTAGGATAAGAAGCAAAAATTCTATCTGAAAGGCACTAATAATTGATTTTCTATTTAAATAGTCAGTTGGCAGCCTTTTTGTGCAAACAAATACAAAGTTAGGTCTATCTCTAGTCTTTCCCTCCCAGAACCTTGTAGGGAATACTTTTTATTTATCCTAAATGTAGGATCATTTACAATATTATTTTGAAAAAGTTACTTTCAATTTGTTTCTTGGTGAATGTTAGTAGAGAATCATTTTCAGTAAAATGCAATTTTACATCTCACGGCAGCATTTTTGTATGTCTCTTTGTTTCCCCGTTGTGCACCTTCCTTGTAATCTTAGTTGGAGGCGGCCTAGAAAAGATGAGTTTGTGTTCTTTGGCTGCAGTGACAATAAGTTATCCTTTATTCACCACCATCATCTATTATGATATCGACCATCTTTCTCAGCCACTGTGTATCTTTCATTCTCTTTCACATAGCACTCATCCACACACATGCAACTCACTAGGCCTTCGCTCTACTGAGTTGGGGGCATAAGTCATGGTTGTGATGAGTGTGTTGATTTCTGCCTGCAAATAAGCCATTGAATTCTACCGGACCTTAGGATTTGGGACTTGAGAGAATTTCTTGGAAGCCCTTTTAGCTTGGTTAAAATGTTTGAAAAGGTTAAATAAAAGTTGAGTTTGAATTTTTCGTTGTTCACTGTTTTGTGCTCTTCCTTTTGTATCTGCAATGTTCTTGTTTGTTTGTTTGTTTAATGTTTAATTTTAGTAATGCATCCTAAGTGGAATATATACTGCTTAATTTCTTTACTTTGTAGTGCAATGGTTCTGGTCAGGTTAGCGTTTGAATACGAAATTTAGTTTGCTGACTATTTTTTTTGGGATTTTTGCTCTTTTATTAGGTAATGGTTTCTGCAAAGGAAGAGCCAGATGTTCCTATTCCTCCTGCCTTGGATGGTTTGCTGAGGGTTCATAAACGCATTATTGATGTGGACAGTGATCCAGCTCATGCTCCACCTGGTGCAGGTGGGATGGTTTTTACAAGGCTACTAGTGGCAGCCACACAAGCTGGAAGCTTGATTGGAAAGCAGGGTGGCACTATAAAGTCTATTCAAGAAACTTCTGGTTGTACTATTCGTGTTCTTGGAGCAGGTAGTTTAACAGATTATTCAATTGCATCCAATATCGTTTGAAGTTTGTTTGTATTTTAAAAAATTGCATTTATCTGCTATGGAATGTCTTTCTTTTGTCTTTGTTTCTTCTGTTTCTTAATGTTGCTAAGAACTTCTGTTTGTGAATTTTCCTATTTTATATTTACTTCACCCATACCATTCTTACCTGTTCAAATATTTATAGTTTGTTTTCTCATATTTGCTGCAAGAGTTAGAAATTTTAAAGGGACATTATTTTCATAGTTTCTGAATGATGTATATGGTCCTCATTACTGCAGAAAACCTGCCACCCTTTGCTCTGCCAGATGACAGCATTGTTGAGATACAAGGGGAGCCTGGAGGTGTGCATAAAGCAGTTGAACTGATTGCAAACCATCTCAGGAAGTTTTTAGTTGATCGCAGTGTTATTGCAGTATTTGAGATGCAAGTAAGTTTGCTCCTCGTATATTCTTAGAACAGTGTAGGCTATTAAGAGTGCTAATTAGATGGGCGCATATGAATGCGAGGTTAATATACCCTTATTGTACTTTTACAATACTTTCCTGCTCTTGTTAATGATTACTGATGCATTAGTGGGCTTGGTGCGAGTGGGTATAATGGTATGTTGGAGATTGGGTCATGTGTATAAGGTGCTAATGCACAAAAGGTGGGGGAAAAGATGTCTTCCACCATTTATTTTGAATAACTTGGTACGTTTATTGTTGTAACATATTTACAAATTAATACTTATCAGAACAAACATATTTACAAATTAATAAAATGGTGGCTTGCCCTACTCCATTAGGGTTAGGTGTTAAATTTCTTTCTAATTAAGCCATGCTGATATAATATATTACAAACACAATATCAAAAATTTAATGTAGTTATGTGGAGTACCAATTTCGGCTTTGGGGGATGTATTGTTTCATTCAGAATTAGGCTTCAATTCTAAGCCAACGGCTAGGCAAAGCTGAGGTGGGTTGTTGAAACATTTACCCACCCTACTTACCTCAAACCGGAAAAGAAAAGAGAAAAACTGGATAATATGAAGTTCCGCTTTTCCAGATTCAAATTGCAGTTGGAATATATATATATTTATTTGACCTTACTCCTTTTTAAGAGATGATGCTCCATAACTTGTTTAGCATGGTACGTTACCCTGAAATAACAGATATTTGTCTAATAGCTTCATCTAATTTCCAAAGCACGTCAGTCAGTGTGTTTTTTAGTGTACTTTTCATTTTCATCATCGCCTTAATCCCATATGAATGGGTTTGGCCACATTAATTCTGTTTCTCCAATCCATCCTATTGCATACCATTTCACCTACTATAATTAGCTTTTTAAATTTATTTTTAATAACCTCATCCCATGTTATTTTTGGTCGCTCTCTGTGTCTCTTACCTTCTATTATAACTAATCTTCCTCGTTTGACTGGTGTGCTTCTAGGTCTCCGATGTAGGTGTGTCCAAACCATCTAAGTCTACCCTCTATAAATTTCTTATTAATTGGAGCCACCCCTAAATTTTCTCTCATTAGTGACCCCATCCCTCCTAGTCACTCCACTCATCCATCTTGGCATTTTCATTTTCGCTACATCAAGGCTTTGCTCTTGTTTCTTTTTTATGGCCCAACACTATGCTCTATACAACATAGTTGGTCTAATAACGGTCCTATATAATTTTCCTTTGATCCTTTGTGTTATTCTTTTATCACATAAAATTCCACTAGCTTGTCTCCACTTGGTCCAACTCGCTCCAATTCTACTAGTTATATCAGTATCTATCTTTCCATTCTTTTGTATTATCGATCCTAGATATCGAAAATGGTTGTTTTGAAGTATTATCAATGACGAGTCACTATTAAATTCGAACTCCATATACTCAGTTTTAGTTAACTAATTCTCAATCCTTCCGATGCTAATGCATTTCTCCACATTTTTTGTTTTTTTGCAAAGGTTCTCTTTAGAAGTGTCTAAGAACACTATATCATCCGCAAACATCTTGCACCAATGACTCTTGTTTTGGAACTCTTCTGTTATTTCATCTAAGATTATAGCAAATAGATAAGGGCTTAGTACCAATCCTTGGTGCAATCCTACATTTATGGAGAACTCACTAGTTTCACCACATTTATAGTTTTGTTGTTTTTTAGTGTATCTATAATGCTTATAAATTGTTTTGCTCAGATGCAAATGCCAAATGTCCGAGAAAACCAGACCATGCCCCCACAACAATCTTGGGGCCCCCCTCCCCAAGGTTTTCCGATGAACACTGGTGGTGGACCTGGTTTTGCGCCTGATCCACAATACATGCCGCCTCCAGGCCCTCCACGTCAATTTGACAATTATTATCCACCAGCAGACTTGCCTCCTATGGACAAGCAGCCTCGTCAGGGTCCTCCTGCTTACGGAAGAGATGTGTCTATGGGTGTTAACATGAGTGCACAGCCACAACAGTCGATGGTTACAAAGGTGATATTTCTTTGCTCATCTTTATTTTTTGCTGTAGATAATTTTAGAAGGGAATATTACCTGCTTATGAAAAAATGTAAGACGGGAATATTTCCCTAGAGGATGGGTGCGCTAAACCTTTTGATAACTCAACTTCGTTTTTCTATCTTACCTTGTCCAAATGATAAAATGAGTAGTGGAAATCCAAATATTAGTCAATGGTGAAAAGGTACTAAATAAATTTTCACGTGACAGTTGATTGAGTTGTCATTTTGTTTTTTACAACTGAAATGACGACCTAATTTTCAATACCTATTTAAGCTAAAATAAGACCTGTCCTTTACAAATTCCCAAGGCCCAGGCGGTTGTGAGCTTGAGGCTGATGTATGATTTTACAAAATTGTAGCTCATCAAAAAGGCTCTTTAAGCTATTTCTGTGCTAAAGGATTTACATGGAATGCCTTGTAGGAGACCATCCCGTTTCAATAGGCAGTGTGTTACATGTTCTGCCTAGTAATCTGCCCTTTCCCCCTCCCTTCTTTCCTCCTCCCCTTTCCTGGTGGCACTGTTCTGCAAATACTTCCAGTATTGATGTGTCTAAGGCAGTTTACAGTCTTACAGACCAAAAGTGACAGTAAGTTGTGTTGATTTAGTTGTTTTATAAGATTAATGAGATGAGAATTATTATCTATGGATAAACAGTTGAGAAGCCACAACTGGGATGAAATTGGAAAATTCAGTAAATCTAATGTTGATACCATTTCTAGGGCAAAATGCAAAAGGCTCCAATAGACTATCACACATTTGAAAATAACCCCCTATACTGATTAAACACCCCCCACAACCCCCTCCCCCCCCCCAAAAACCCAAAACTGCAAAAGATTTGCAGAGACCTAGGGATGGCAATCTATTTCTTTGCTAAAGGTTTTACATGGACTGCCTTGGAGGAGGCCATCCCGTTTCAAAAGCCAGTGTGTTACATGTTCTGCTTAGTAATCTGCCCTTCCCCCGACTCTCTTTCCTCTTTCCTCTTCCCCTTTTCCTGAAACTAAACTCTATTCTGCCCCATTTGATCAGAGTGTCCCATATTTCCCCAACCCAGGTTGGGTTTCATATTCTGATCCCATCCCCGACCATTAAAAAAAGGAAAAAATGTAAGAATCTGTCCCGTTTTACAAAAACAAACACTTGTTTCGCACATCTGAATTGAGAGAAATACACAGATGTACATATAAGTATAATAATAGATGAAGAACTACCAATTGAAAATAAATGAACAAAAAATAAGTGAAAATAGATGGAGAACAACAAAATATTGTTCGGCAAACAAAAGAAATATGACGAAATGTAGATCGGAAAACTTTGTGGAGTTCAGTGCTGTGCAATTAGGATGCCAGTGATTGCCACTTGCTACGTATCAGCAAAGCTTCATGGAGGAACTAATGAAGAGCGAGGAAGAGTTGGTGCCAATCACTGGCAGAAGGAATGGTGAAAATTGTTGGAGGACTTTGCGATTGTAGTGGGGAGATGGGTGAGGGGCAGAGTGATGAGATAGATAAAGAGATTTCTTTGGAATATAGTGAAACCCTACCTACTCCATATATGTCTATATAAATACAAGGGTATTATGTAATATATAAATTTTGGAAGGGAAAATATGTATGGGTATGTAATATCATCAGGGTGGGCACCGGGTGGGCAGGCGGAAGACTCATGAACCCTGCACCTGCCCCGATCCCTAGTCAGGATTAGTTTTCATAACCCAAACCCACCCCTTCTATTTATCATACCAGTCCCATTAGCGTTGGGACGGGGCGGAAACCTGCCGGATCGGGACTAATTGCAATCCCTACACAGATCAATTGTCACCAAACCATTGATGGAGTAAAAGAATTACAGGCTGCCTTTTAGAAAATGAAGAAGTGGTAAATTGCAAAAACACTCTATAACTATCTTGATTTTGCAGTTATCCATTGATATGACAAAAAACCACCTAACCTTCAAACGATTGTGTTACTTCGTGGTTATGCAATGCACCTGACTATCTCTGTTCAATTTCAAAGCAGACTGGCATCAAGGGGGTAATTGCAACAGTTAAGTAAATTTCAGGATTTTTTTTTTTTTTTTGCCAAATTAATTATCTAGAGGGATATTTACAAATGTGAGATGGTTCCCTTTTTATCTTTTTCTCTTTTCTCCAAATAGCTGTTGTATTTATACTGAAGTGCATGTTAGAATCTCTGCTTAAAACTGCAGGCTATTATAATTCTATGGAAGGGATTTTTATTGAATCTCAATAATACCATTATATCTGCTTACTTGTAAATTGCAACCAGTTCTTTCATATCATTGGCAATAGTTTTTTCCATACTTGGCTAATATTGTTTTCAATTTTGACGACCACCCTACAAACATCTCTTTATTTTATTTTATTATTTCTTTGTCATTTTATTGCTGGTATTAATGTATTTTTTTAATTTATTTTTTACTCCTTGTTTAGGTTACGCAAAACATGCAAATTCCTCTGTCATATGCGGATGCAGTAATTGGAAACTCTGGTGCGAACATTAGTTATATACGTCGGGCCAGTGGTGCTAGTATTGCAATACAGGAAACCAGGGGTGTGCCTGGGGAGATGACTGTGGAGATAAATGGATCTGCATCACAAGTCCAAACAGCTCAACAATTGATACAGGCACCTACAATTTCCTTTATCATATTTCAATTCTGCTGCTCTGCCTTTTTCCTATTTATTTGGATCGCTAAGGTTGTGCTAGCATGCAGTTGTTTTTTGATATTTCTGACCCAAGCATTCAGTGTCTTCTTAACTCTTAACTGAGTTATGCTTGCATTTTTTTTGCTCTAGTATTACTTTTATTAGATTGGAATGGAGCATTGGAGAATTTTGTATGGGCTTAACTCCTTTAGTGTCTATAGTAACATCATTATTTGGTGGTTAGTTACTAGTTCCACTACTATTTGGGTGCATTTGGATAGTGAATACTATTGTTAATTTACTACTAATGTATGAAATAGTTGATTATTTACTGTTCTTGGATACTGATAATATGTATATATATTTTCAATTGCACAATTAAGTCTTGTAATATCATAGTAAGTTTTGTAATATCATTTTCTTCAATTCCGCACGTGGGGCTTGAACTGCTCTTTGTCGAAGCTGGCAACCACCATTATTATCTTTTAATAGAACTTGTTCTTTTTTACAGAATTTCATTGCTGAAGCTGCAAGCACTGCACAGAACCCTACAGGTGCGCCAACTGGACAAGGGTATAATACCTATCCGGGTCATGGACCTGTTTATGGATCACCACCATCCAACCCTAGTGGTCATCCCGGGCATGCGCCTACTGGAGACTATGGTTCCGTGTATGGAACCAATTATGGTTATTAAAGCAGCTGAGTTCTGGTCGTAGTCAGATTGGCGTCAACATTTGGGACTTGATAGTTATCATAGGGAAGTACAAGATGAGTCTTGGCAGGGAAGTTAGTGATGTTGTATTGACATTTTTCTGATCAGAGACGCTCTTGATGTTTAAATTTTCTCAACGCCCTAGGTGAAACATTAGTTGGCTAGTTGGACCTGTTTGAACCCTTTGTTCTCCTGACTTGTCCCATGGCTGCTCGGCTTGTTCATCATAGTTATTGTGATTATTTTCATCTGTCTTGTAGGATATGTGACTGCTTTATGTGCCAGAGTATTTGGCAACTTCTTCAAACATTTGATTTAATGTGCAAGTCTATGAATGCTTTCTTTAATCATGCCTTTGATATGCCATGGCGTCAGCATTGTATTTTAAGGTGTCATATTATTTGATATAAGATGGGTATATGCGGTGTCTGTTCTAGTTATGTTTTAGTGCAGGGATGAGCTGATGAGCTATCTTGTTTTGATGCATTGATTTTATATAATCCATATAATCGTTTTGGGAAGAAGCATGGATTTTATTTCTTGTTTTGGTATCACACAGGACTATTTTGTAGAACTTGGAACTGAGTAATTGATGACTACGAATCGGAAAAGATGCATGGATAGCCCGTAATTTGTAGAACTTGGCATTTAACAAGAGTAATTGATGACTGAGAAACGGAAAAGATGCATGGATGGTCTTAATTTGTAGAACTTGGCATGTAACATTAGTTATTTATGACCAAGCGTTGGTAGAGATGCAATGGTTTTTCTCTTGTGCTGATGACGCGCAAAATATGAAAATGAACTCATAAGAACGCTATGGGTATCATGGAACCTATATAAGGGTTTTGGCCACAGAAAATCATCAAGAGGTGATTGATTTGTAATTACACTGTTGCTTTATGTGCCTCGATCAGATCTAGAATGTATTTTTCGGAATTCCTTAGCAGGGGATTGCCATGGATCAACAGGGTTTTGCTATTGATCAAATGGTAATGATTATTTTAGATTCGTAGTGCAAACTTTTTAGACCTGGGCAACACTTTCTGCGTATGGAAGTCATCACCAAGAGCATAGCATGACTTCAACCTAACATCCGAGAGGAGGTCGGCTTGTTTGCATCAGATGGAATTAGTGTCAACACCACAACAATCAACTATATCTTCCTTGAAAGTTTTGGAACATCTTCAACCAACCCTCCCAAAAAAAGAAAAGAAAAAAGAATGGTACAATAACTCGGAGAATCATTAAAAGAATGCTACTACAAGTATCAAACTCAAGGGACAGTTTTGATTCCCTATAACATTTGCAAATAGGTAAAGTTTATCTAAGCATAATGTGCGCGCACAAGAATTAAATGTCACTTGTCCATCAATAAGAGAAGCTTAAAATATATAGAGAAACCTAAATTCTTTACATAGAAATAAAGAAAAAGCTTAACATTGAAATTGATAATCTATATAGGCGCTGAACATGTTGTTCTAAAATGCCCAGTCTGATTGCAGCGACTGCAATGCACAACCCGCTTCGCACGTCCCCTATCTTCGGCACGAACTCGCCTTTTCCTTGGTCGTCCTGGCGGACGAAGCGACTTTGGTGGGTTTATGATGATCTCAGCACCATTGCCTTCATTATTTTGAGATCCATCCGACATTTCCTTCCAAAGGGTTCTATCTGGAACTGGGTGTATTGTTTGAGAGTATGCTTTGCGATATGTTGCCACGGTGAAACAACTCTCAGTGAAGCGATGAACATTCTGCCTACAAGAAAGGAGAGCTGCCACAGCATGGGCACAGGGCAGCCCATACAGCTGCCATCCTCGACACAGACAGCAACGATTTCGAATATCCACAATGTTTGTTCCTTCGTGGGATATAACTTCAAATTCTGCTTCATTTGCTCGGAGCACCTGATATGAACGTGCATGCTCAAGAGCCTCTGATACATGTCTTTCAGCACTTGGAACAAGTATAGATGTCCACTGCATACTTACTTCGCGTCGCTCGTTGAACCAAGTCATTAGTTGACGACGGATAGACTCCATCATTTGAATTATTGGAAGTGCAGAAGCTTCAAGTATCCAAGCATTCAACGATTCAACTATGTTGGCAGTCAGATGTCCGAACCGTGTTCCCTCAAAATATGCTGTGGCCCACAAGCGAGGCGGAACTCGTCGAATCCAATAAGCAGCTTCCTGCGATATCTCTTCAATCTCAAGGATTTTTGCTTCAAACTCGATGACTGTAAGAGCATTAGCAGCTTCCCAGAGAAGGTTGACAAGCACAGTATTGTTGAACTCCTTTCGGAAACTTTCACTAAGATGTCGTAAGCAGAACCCATGAAAAGCAGTTGGGAAGTTGGCTTCCACACCATCCACAATACTCTTCTGTCTATCAGACAAAATTGTAAGCCTTGGCATGTTTTCTGTATTAATCTCAAGCAGGTTATGTAGCTCAGAAAGGAACCACATCCAATTATCATCATTTTCCTCATCAACCACCCCAAATGCTAAAGGAAACAGAGCACCATCCCCATCAAAACCAGTAGCAAAAAGCAAGGTCCCAAGGTACTTGCTTTTCAAAACAGTTCTATCAAGCCCGAGAAGTGGTCGACATGCATTCAGAAACCCATAGATTGAAGCTTGAAATGAAACAAATAGGCGCTGGAAGCAACTATCCACTGGATTCACATATACTGATGCAATACTTCCTGGGTTTTTCTGTCTAATTTGGTCACAGTACTGTGGAAGAAGGCGATAGTCTTCTTCAAATGACCCACGAAGAGCAGCCATGATCCGTTCCTTTCCTCTCCAGGCTTGCTTGTATGATAGGGTGATCCCATGAACACGGTGAATCTCTTCAAGTATCTCCTTCGGCTTGCAATTCGGGTTTTCCTTAAGGCGTTGTTCCACAGAATTTGCAACCCATTGGACTGAGGCTTGCTGATGACCAAGATGAGTAATTCCACCACAAGAATGCTGCTCATGAATTGTCCTAATTGTGAAGGTCGGAACGCCAGGAAGTTTAGCAGCATGGATTCGCCAAGGGCATCCTTCACTTGCGCACTTGGCAGTGAAACGAGTCTTGTCAGACTTAACTGTCTGTATCTCGAAGTGTAGAGCAATTGCGGTGTCCCTCAATGCCCTACGACAGCTCTGGACATCAGGAAACTCTTGCCCAACAGTCAATTCATGGGTAGGAGTAGGAACTAGGGTGCGAGTTTGAATAACAGGGGGACTGACTAGGAGCTCGCCATCAGGACCAGTCATATCCGCAGCAGGTACCATACCCATTTCATGGTTTTGGTCCACAACAAGCTCCATGTTTTCATCAAGGTCGTGGTTCTCTACAATGGACAATTCGTGATTCTCTGATAAACCTAACTCGTGATTTTGGGCAGTAAGAGGCAGTTGATGATCATGGTTGTCAACATCGGTATTGTTTTGATCACCATCAGGTTCAGTATCTTCACCCAGATTCATTCCATTATCATGTTCATCACCACTAAGGACATGAGCATGTCTTAGAGCCATTTCATGGTTGTGGGCCTGAGCTACTGCTAATTCATGATCGGCATGAGCTAAACCTAAATCATGATCATGGGTATGCCCTATATCCAGATCATGTTCACGTGACTGTCCCAATCCTAAATTCTGACTCTGTCCAACTAACAGACTTTGATTATGCCCTAGACCGAGGTGTTGGTTCTGAACCAGCGATAGGTCCTGTCTTTGACCAAGAATCATATCGTGATTCGCCATGAATAATCCAGTCAAATATCTATTAATCAACCTCTCAATCCCCAAAAAAAATGCTCAACTTGCAATTTAAAATTCCTCTTCCTGAGTTCCAAAGAGAACCTGTTAAAATACAAAAAAAAAAACTATAAATCAAAGTTAACTCTGTCCATCAAACCTACAAAAAATTACTATAAAGGAACAAAAGAGTGAAAGAATTTACAGGTTTACCTTTTTTTTTTTCTTTTTTTTTACATCCAGTTTTTCCATCACTTTATTTGGGAATTAAGGAATTCTAACAGAAAATACAGTCCAAATTGGTCCTAGATTTCAACGGACATGGGAGTTTTTCTATTTACACTTGCTCCCAGCCGTGATATACTCTATCTAGATTTATCAGTATTGATCAATTTGTTCCTGTCTAACAGAACGCTATTGTTTCTACCATCAAGCTAAACAACCCACAAAGATACAATGAAAGCGGCATAACATGGATAAACCACAGAAAAAACCTTTGAATTAACAGTCTCCATTTGATTGCAGAAAAAGAATTCTGAAATATAAAAATCCGACAGTATTCATTATGTGGAGCCCGGGAACAGAGCAACCAAATCCAACAGAGCGTAACGATACAAAAACTTATATCTTAGTTAAGCATTAGATTCAAAAATTGCATCCTCACAAGATTATAGAATCAAAGAAAATTGCATAAAATCACAATTCGTTTTACGGTACTCAACTACTAACTAAAAATCTGAAGGACCGGAAAACCCTAATTCCGAATGCGAATTGAAGTTTCGAAGAACTTACAACTTGGAGCGTCAAAGACACCAAGAAACCTGCAAAATTGAGATAAAACAAAACGAAACATCAGAATAATGATCAAAAGCGGGATCCTATCTTCAATTAGGGTTTATATATATATGAATGAAGAATAAAACTGAGGGAGAGAAAGAGAGAGTTTGATTTTGGCGGGTAAGAGAGAGAGAGAAAGAAAGAAAGAAAGAAATAGATGAAAATAGAAAATACCTGAAAGAGTGAAGGGTAGAGAAGGGGAAGAGCTGAGAAATTGCAGGGGCAAAAGGGCAGAACGATGGATATCGGAGGTTTCGAAGGTCAAAAGCTAGGGCTCACACCAAAAAAAGAGGGCATTTAGGTCATCCCAACTGATCCCTTTGCTCCCTATATATATATATATATATATATATCTCTTTGTATACTATTAATTTATCCTAACCGTTTGATCATATCTCGTGGGCTCGTGGGCTCACCATGGCATTATTGATATTATACATAGTTTTTTTAACCCATTAATATATATAGTTTTTTTACCCATTAATTTTGGTGGGAAAAAGTCATTGTTTGCCTGTAATTGCAACAAATTGCCATGAATTCAAGACAAATATACTGATACGAGTTTAAAACATTTGTAAGAGTAATGGTTCAGGATTCAATTCTTTACATAAATGTAAGAGTATTTCTTGCTAAAGTGTTTTAATATATACATATATTAATTATTATTATAAGTTACATACTTGTGAAATGTTTAAAGTTTAAAGTGATTAGGGTGAACATATAAGTTCGCAATTTAATAAGCATTGTTGTTATTATTATTATTATTATTATTATTATTATTATTATTATTATTATTATTATTAACAGGTATTATTGTTATATTATCTCCTTGACTTATCATATTAATTTAAAATTTTACATTGTTTTTAAAAGAATAAAGATAAAACTACAAAAAAAAAAAAAAAAAAAAAACTTTTAAAGGTACAAAACCATCAAATTTCATCAATAAAAAAAGAAGAATGCTTGTCTCAGGTCGCATAAGTAGGAATGTCTTTTTGATGCTGACATGGATCAATAAAAATATGGTGTCAAATTTTTTTAAAAAATAATTAATAAAAATTGTTTGGATCTTTTTGCGATCATCCAAAAAGAAAGATTTTTTTTCCTTCATATGTTTGATATTTTCTATTCCAAAAATCCTTTATATTGCAATCCTCCATTATAGAAAACGCTAAACAATTAGTCCAAACATGGTAAATTAACCACAATTGTAAGACTCTAATTATCAATGGAGTTTAAGGAAATTAATTTCGCTTCAGATTGCAATAGGTGGTGATAAATCTTAAAATTTTGGATGCCATTAGAGTTATGCGTATTTATTAATTGGCCTCTTAAATCATCTCTAAATATTGGATGTAAAAGATTTTAAAAAAAGTTACTTCTTTCGACAAAACTGAAAAAAGAAGTTAACTTTGTTGAATAAATTATTTGTTTGGACGAAAAAAAAAAAAAAAACTATTGAATAAATTATCTCTTTTAACTGCCAAAATTAAATTATCAGAATAAATTATTTTCTTTGAGAGGACTTCTGAAAAGAAAAAGAAAAGAAAGTATAACACAAGGAAAAAAATATTAAAGAAACTAAAGAAGGTAAAAAAAAAAAATTAAAATTGTATAAAGGGTAGTTATGGTATTAAAAAATAAGGGATAATATATTAATGAATTGAATGATCTTCTTTTCATTTCTTTTAAAAGAAAAAGGTAAATGTAGTGAAATATGACAAAAGTGGAGTGCCAATATTGCTGCCCTATCTATATAAATATATTAATTATTATTATAAATTACATAGCTGTGAAATGTTTAAAGTTTAAAGTGATTTAGGGTGAACTTATAAGTTCGCAATTTAATAAGCAATGTTATTATTATTATTATTATTATTATTATTATTATTAACAGGTATTATTTTATATTATCTCCTTGACTTATCGTATTAATTTAAAATTCTACATTGTTTTTAAAAGAATAAAGATAAAACTACAAAAAAAATAAAAATAAAATACTTTTAAAGGCACAAAACCATCAAATTCCATCAATAAAAAAATATGTGATGGTTGTAATCATGTGATAATTATAAGTATATTAATACTTGGCGTATCCATGCAATGTCTATACTAAATTATGAAACTACAATGATTGTCACACTACATTTATATGAAATAACAAATTCTTGTTATTTGTTCATCAAACTGTGATACAGAGTGAAAGTCAAATAAATTCTCGAACGATGATATGATATTATCATACTTACGAAGTCATCACCTTCCCATAATCCCACTCACATCTAAAAAAAAATACAATTACAAATTTGTCTCAGAAAATAATATATAGCATACCATTTAGATTTCTTTACATAACCATTTATGAAAGCAGTTTTTTTTTTTTTTTTTTTTTTTTTTTTTTTTTTTTTTTTTTTTTTTAAACCTATGTAAGAAAGCAGTTGAGAGAGAAGATCGATTCAAGTGAAGATATTTTTGCAAGGGTGTATGATTAAAACCAATAGAGAGGTAAATTCCATCAGCAGTTCAGTACAAGGGTAATTCTGTACCAGTACCTCTTTTCAACGGCTTCATTTATGGTTTTATGGGGAATTTTGATCAATCCAAGGGTTTATTCCCACTCTCTCCCTATTTTACCAAATCCAAGGCAACTTAACGACCCATTGGTAAAGAGCCAGTGGCAAATTTTGCTTTCATGAAGTAGAATTGGCTTAAACCTTTCTTTTCATTATGCTACTTGTGTTGATCCTTTAACACCAGAATAAATAAAATAACTTTCCGGGGGAGACAAAAAAAAAAAAAAAAATAGAGTCAAATATTAGATTATTGTTTTTTCTGTAATTATGGATAAAGAGGTAGCAATGACACTTCGATTTTGAATGAGCTTGATATGAGATCCATTTGAAGTCTTATGCAATTTGCATAGTCCTTTGAAAACATTATGCTGCGACATGAAAAATGCTCCTAAGTGCATGATGTTGCGAAGTAATATATACTTGGTGAGTGCGAGGTTGAATCACAGAAAAAGGGAAACAATAACTAATGGTGAAAGCAGATAAAAAAAATATTTAAATGGCTTTGGATATTTGTAAAGTTAATAGTATAGAATTGATTCAAATAAAATATAATACTTTTAAAACACAAAGGTTTCAGAAATTCACACACTACAAATCTATGGTATTTGGCAATGATTTTATTTTATAACTCATTTGAAATTCATACGAACAATGTCGTTAAGCAAACACCATATCAATTTTGTGTCTTCGGTTCTAGTTTTATCAAATAGTTTAATTACCCATAAAAGAAAAATATAAAACTAAAAAATAATAACAATACAGATGATAATCTCTACTGGACGGCTCCCTCTATTATAGAGTTGGGGTAGGGTTTTCTCCGAGGAAAATAAAATCTACCAAAATTTGCCTTACATATTTGTTTCCACTTGCATCCCTATTTTGACCTATACTTGGAGTGCGATTCATGAAATTATTATTCGATACAAAAATGATGGGCAAGTTTTTTTTTTGAAGAGCCGTTGAATATGCGTCATTCCAATATCCGAGTCAAAAGTTATGACAAAAACATTGAGGCTGGTGCAGAACTTTCTTTCCAAATCTGAATATGGATATTTCATTTCTTCAAAATAAATTGCGAATTTTGCCTCCAGAAACCTCTTTGAAATTTTTTTCCAAAATCCTTCTTGAATGATCTTGGCCATTGGATGCATTTGAACCTTTGACCTCCTGCGAACTAGTCGTTTTTCCTTTCTGTAATGCACCATCGATCCATCGAGGCTACTGCAGGTTTAGAGTGAAGGCAATTGGATTTTCTAGGAATAAAGTGATATTTGGTCGATTGATCCTTTAAAAAAATCCGACAAAGTAAAATATATGATAAGATTTAATATGATGGATAATTAAATATATATATTTTCAAGCATTAATATGCTAATTTAATCAAGAAAATAGTTATTATATTTTTCTGTAAAACATAAAAATTAATGAAAGATATATGCAATAATGCCTACTAAACCTATGAATATTATGCAATTTTAAGCTATTATCACAACCTTTTGCTAGATTCTTATCATCTCAAAACTGATGGATGCAAAACTAGGCCATGTTTATACTTGAAGATTGTGTGAGTTGTTTTTGCTGTGGTTCATATTATAGTTTTTGACCTAATTTTCTTGCCTCGCCCAGGAATCTGTTAAAACCGGCCTTCACTATGAGTAAAAAATTGCTTCTCCAAGGAGGAAGTACGTCTCTCTCTGTGTGTCACACACACAAATTGCATGAGCATTTATATAAATACTTGACCTCTTAATTTAAGGAGTAAGTTGTAACTAGTTTTTTCTTTTCTTTTTCTTTTTATTTTTATCATCAATAATGTTGCTAGGGAATTACAAAACAAAATGAATGAAATGTAAATGGGAAAGCAATGTCTAGTTTGATGGGCTGTAATAGTTTTGTTTAGTAGTTACGAATCATTCTCTGTTAGACTCAAGTCTATAGCCACGGGAACAAAAAATTATTGTAGAACACCTGTCAACTTCTCAATCAATCAGTTTTCAACTTTAATTATATATATATATATATATATATGCTCATAACATCTGCTTGTAAATCTAATTTCCTTTTGGAGGGAATACTTGTTTTTCCTTTCCTTGTTTCCCCAATCTCTTCCAATAATATTTTACCAAAAAAGAGGAAAAGAAAAGCCAATTATATTAGAGGTGTTCAAAAAATTCGGTAAATCGAAAAATTGGATCAAACCGTACTGAATTGTGCGGTTTGAGCTACTTGTATAGCGGTTTGGTCTGATCCTGGGCCCAAAATTATGAAACTGTAATTTTTCGGTCTGGTCCTGATTTAGGGTCGTGCTGGACCGGACCAGCCTAGACTGAACCGTTACCATGTTATATAATATATATTTATATATGTATATTATATCCTAAACCTAAATCAATTAAAGTTCTTACGTGCCCCCTTTCTTTCTTTTGTTCTTAAATTTTTTTTTAAAAAAAAAAGTCCAATTCCCCTTTTCAAATATATCTCAATTTTCTTTCCTTTTTTTCTTCTTAAAATTCATTTTTTTTTTTTTTTTTTTTGCATATTATATCAATGTTAGTTGATGATATATATATATAACTTTGCCCCCTCTAAATTAAAATAAAATAAAAAAGAAATCAATTGAAATCGACAAACCGAACCGAACCGAACTGGTTTTTTGTGATTTGGTTTGATTTGGTTTCATGAATATTATGATTCGGTCTGGTTTCAAAAATAATGGAACCGTTATAAATGATT